TCTTGCAAAGTTCTAATGTAGCTTGGGAGTATGGAATTAGTGGACCCTTTTGGTATGCAAGTGGAGCTACTATTCAGGTACGTCTAAAATCATTCTTCGATATTCTTGACCTCAGGAAGATAATTTTTTCGAGTTGTTTCTAACAGGTCCTTCTTTTTGGTGTGATCGCGATAGAGATCAAAAGAAAAGCCCCTTATGCTCATACTGTCTGTGAAATCGTAAAAGCAAGGTTCGTGGTGAACTATACTAAAGAAGAACATGATTCTGTCGTATCCATGTAGTCTACTGACTAATATTTACTCATATTTTCAGATGGGGAACTGCTGCTCATCTGGTTTTTCTGGGGTTTTGCTTCTTGACAAACATTATAGTAACAGCCATGTTGCTTCTTGGTGGCTCTGCTGTCGTCAATGCACTCACTGGTGTTAACATATATGCTGCAAGTTTCCTTATCCCTCTCGGTGTTGTAGTTTACACCTTGGCTGGAGGGCTAAAAGCTACTTTCTTGGCTAGCTATATACATTCCGTCATAGGTATCTAATTTAAGCTCTTTGTATACTCTTTTTCACGGGCTCATCTAAGAGAAATTTGTGGTTGTTGATTTCAGTACACGTGGTGTTAGTCATCTTTGTGTACCTAGTATATGCTGCAAGCAGTGAACTTGGCAGCCCAAACATCGTTTACAGACGTTTATTAGAAGTAGCAAGCAAGTCAAGAAGCTGTCAAGAGCCAATCTCTCATGTAGGACAATCTTGTGGCCCTGCTACTGGGAATTTCAAGGGGTCTTATGTTACTATGTTGAGTTCAGGTGGTCTCGTCTTTGGTATCATCAACATCGTTGGCAATTTTGGCACAGTTTTCGTTGACAATGTAAGTTTTTTCTTTCCCTATGATATAGCAAGAAACTAGCTTATGGTAAGTTTCTGCAACATTCCTGATATCAGAAATATCGAAATGTTAGGGATATTGGGTAAGTGCAATTGCTGCAAGACCATCATCAACACATAAGGGCTATTTGTTGGGTGGTCTAGTTTGGTTTGCTGTGCCATTTTCCTTGGCAACATCACTAGGTCTTGGAGCACTGGCTCTTGATCTACCGATAACAGCAAGTGAGGCTAGCCACGGACTTGTTCCTCCAGCTACAGCTATTGCTTTGATGGGAAAAGGAGGATCAATTCTTCTCCTCACGATGCTCTTCATGTAAGTGCTTAATCAAGAATAACACGTGGAAAATGGTTTGTTAACTGTCAATAACATGATTTCTTCTGTATTGGTTAGGGCTGTCACATCTGCTGGTTCATCTGAGCTAATCGCGGTGTCTTCATTATGTACGTATGACATCTATCGTACATACATCAACCCAGAAGCAAATGGAAAACAAATCCTAAAAGTTTCAAGAGGAGTTGTCTTAGGCTTTGGCTGTTTCATGGGCATTTTAGCAGTAATTTTGAACAAGGCTGGTGTTTCTCTAGGTTGGATGTATTTAGCTATGGGAGTTTTCATAGGATCAGCTGTTATCCCAATAGCCTTCATGCTTTTATGGCGAAAAGCAAACAGTTTTGGTGCAATCCTAGGGACAGTTATTGGCTGTTTGTTAGGTATTATCACTTGGCTATCGGTCACTAAGATCGAGTATGGAAGGATAGACCTTGACACAACTGGTAGAAATGCACCAATGCTAGCAGGAAACCTTGTTTCCATACTTACTGGTGGAGTTATTCATGCTGTTTGCAGCTTTTTAAGACCTCAGAATTATGATTGGGAGACTACAAAACAGATCACAGTGGTTGAAAAGGAAAAGAGTGAAGTGCCACCTGAAGAATTCAGAGAGGAAAAACTTAACAGTGCCAAAGCCTGGATAATCAAATGGGGCATCGGTTTCACATTCGTGATAGTAATTCTCTGGCCTATTCTTACACTTCCTGTAGGTAAGTCGAAAAAACTCAATCTTTCTTCAGCTTCAGTGTATATTATCACAGTACGAGTGCTCGATGATTAACTAAGTTACAAACTTGATAATGCAGGGCAATTTAGCAAGGGATACTTCACATTCTGGGCTGTAATATCTATTGTATGGGGCACAGTTGGATCAGCAGTGATTATCGCTTTGCCATTGATGGAAAGCTGGAGAACAATCCAAAGTGTGCTTAATGGCATGTTTACAAATGACAGAGTTATGGGAAAATTAGAAGACTTGAACTCCAAACTGAATGCATTTATTGTAGCAATGCCTGAAGTAGAGAGGGTGTATTTACTTGAGAAAGAAAGGAGCAAGAAAAAGGAAGTAGCAGAATCTGATCAGATTGTTGCTTCACCAAGTCATTGAATTTCCAGATAAAACAAGTGTATCAGTGTGTATTTGAAGTCTAAAAAGATCCAAAGACAGCTCTTCGTCCACGAGCAAAATATTTATGCCTATACATATAAAGAGGCGAATCTAGAATTTTAAATATAATAGATTTTATAGGACTGAACTCATTGTATATACTGTGTGTAAAAATAAGGCTAGTCTGTCACAGATACATACTGTCTGTCACTTTCTGCAAAAAAATGTGAACTACATTGAGTATATTTCATTCCCAGAAAATAGTGTGCTTTTGTCTTTAAAAGTACATTCATGTCTTGTTTGAATTTGCTTTAATTAGTCTGTTTAAACATTGGAAGGACTCAAAATTCCATGTACCAATGCTTTGGCTATCTATGGGACTAAAGCCTTTTGGGGAGTCGTTTGATATGCGGGATAAGGTGGATATCCCAGGATTAAGTTTGAGATAAAAATTATACTTTCTTTGATTGAAGGTATTAAATTTAGCCTAGGATAAATTAGACTATAATCCCGAGATAACTTTGTCCACGAACCAAATGACTTTGCGGAAATAAATGTAGACAACATAATGACTTGTTCCAAGTGACATTTAGCTACCTGATGACAATTTGATATATGTCAAAAGTTGTGAAAGTTGTCATGCCAATACACATTAGGCTGCAATCTTCTCATTAGCAAAAGGTAGCATGATAACACAATTTTCCCAACTGAGTTCAAACATTATAATAAAATGTTAAAACTTCCAAAAGGGGTTTATGGAAATTGTTGATTGGTTTCATCTATAAACCAAACAACAAAACAAGAAACTTGAAAAGCAACCAGCAAGTTGCATTGTTGTAGTCCATCAGAACTCAATGTTCAACCATTTAGTGTAGTAGACACAGGTTTTCGGAGATATAATTCCATCAGGTGTACATACACTAATCCTAGGGCAAGCACCACATGGAATCGAAGCCATTGGTCCTATTGTTTTCGGACCTGAAATATCTCCAACTGCAATTCTGTAACAAACAGATCCAATAGGAATAGAATGATACTCTCCCAAACCAGTACTCTTTACCTCTATAATGGCATCGTCCAAAACCATAGAGTTCAATATTTCACCGACTTGTTGACTTGTGCAGCACTCAACAACTTTCCGTTTCTTCAAAAAGTCGTGGATCCCCTCCACGGTAGCAACTTTCATCATCCCTATAACCTTAAGGCACGTCTCTCTAAGAACAGTGATGAATTCCTTGTCAAGCTTTCCCTCGGAATACCATGCTCCACCAGTCAGTTCCTCGGAAGGTTCATACTCAACAGCCATGTAATGCTTCTTTGCCTTATTTTGGATAGTAGGGACTTTTTTAATCAAATTCTTCTTCACCAATGAAGTTAGGCATTTATCGACAAGAGCTGGTGCGATGTTTGCCTCTTTTTTCACATCTGCTACCCACACACCCAGATTTTTTTTACTTTTGACCACATTGAGCACTACAAGCTCAGCATCTACAAGTCCCTGAGTAGATGAATCCGGTCTTTTCCGCTTCATGGCGGCTGCTTCACTTGATCGGCTCATCTCTCTGAGCACAAGAAGAGTAAATTAAAACAAGCCCAATACATCGATAATCTCTTAAACTTGCAATTGATACAAATTGCAGTTCGAGGGTTAAATGAAATTTATACTTGCAAATTTAACATTTGTATATATTCCGCCTTATAATTGCAATTGGAACAAATCATAATTTAAGTGTTTGAATGAAATTTATACTCGCAAATGAGTTGTATAGACTACGCCTAAAAATAAACTTGGAAGAAGGGAGTAAACAAATTAGAACGGAAAGATATAAAAGAGAGACTTACAGGGAGTGACGGAAGAGGAGTCGCCGACTCTAAATTGCTGATGCCGTCGCCGTCGCCGGTCGGAGGAGTTTGCACAGCACAAACTACTGGTAGATTGTGGGTAATTTTGAACGGGGGAGAGAGAGGGGGTTCAGGGGAGTTAATTTTGGGTTTTGATACTTTCAATTTGGGTTTGATCTTGGAACGGTTCATTTAGTGTAGCCCTAATTATCTTTGGGTTATTACACGTATGCCTATCAAATAACTTAGGAAACCCGGTTTCATTTTTATTTCGTGATTTGAAATTATGAGTTAAAATTAACATTTTGAATTTTAAAATGCAATTTCATGAGATGAAATTCTAAAAATTCTCCAAAAAGCTTAATTTGAGAATTTCATATTTTTTAAATACAAAATTGACCCATAAGTTTATATTCTTTTAATAAAAAATCCACCTTTTTTATATCTACATAACTTTTTGTGAGAATATCAAAAGAGTGATGAAATATTTACGAAATATGAACATGATAATATCGATCAACAGAAGACTTATAATAAAGAGTAGTACACTATAACTCAGGTTCAATTTACTTTTATTTTATTTATTTTATTGAATTGAAGTCCTAAAGTTGGATATTTCCAACTTATGACTTTTTGCTTATAATCAACTTGAAAAAAAGTCAATCCAAACATGAGTTGTAGGCAAGTCCATGAGTCTCTGAAGTTACAGTTTCACAAGCTACCATGGTTTGTTACATATATTTTACAAGACAAGTCCAAAAAAAATGAAAACAAGATAAAAGAAAAGATGGTATTCATTCTGTCCCCCAATTTTGTCCTCACCAAGAATTTTTTACATTCTATTTTGGCTTGTTGTTGGACAATGCAAGAGGTTGGTTTGAATCTTGTTGAGTCTTACAAGGACATCTTTCATACTGATTCTCTCTTGAGGTGATTCAGATGTACATTGTAAGGCCAATTCCATTACCAACTTAAAGCAAGTCTCTTTGAATGAAAACTGCTCATCCTGTCTTGAAAATAAATTAGCATCCACTACATCCATCACTCTATCGGGTAATGATTCAAACACCCATCTCTTCAAGCTGAGTTCTCCGACGAAAAGATCGTCCATGGGCTTCTTTCTTGTAAAGGTCTCCATTAACATGATACCATAGCTATAAACATCTCCCATGGTTGACACTAAGCCTTCTGATCCATATTCTGCAAACACACGCCATATATTTATCTTCTTAATCAATAGCAAAATGAATCGTGTTGTTTCTTATCTACATAATGAGACAAATTAACATTATTTAACATAAGAAAGACTTGATAACAGTTGTATACCTGGTGCCATGTAGCCAATAGTGCCTAACGTCTTCGTTTGTGCTATCAATTTATCAGCTGTCATAAATTTGGATATACCAAAGTCACTGACTCTTGCAACCATGTCTCCATCCAAAAGTATGTTACTTGGTTTTAGATCACAATGTACAACAACAAAAGAATGACCTTCATGTAAATATTCCATTGCAGAAGCCACATCAATCATAACCCTCAATCTTTGGCTTAAATCCAAAAAGTTGTTGTGAGAATAAAGCCAAGCATCAAGGTTTCCATTTGGCATGTACTCTAGAACCAATGCTTTAAAATCAAGATTAGCACAACTACTTATCACCTTAACAAGATTTCTATGGCGAATGTTACGTAAAACCTCACACTCCAAATCAAATCTTCTAAATGCATCTTGTACTTCTGTGTTGAAAACCTTTACAGCAACAATAATTCCATCTTGGAGTGTTCCTTTGTACACTAGACCAAGGCCTCCCCTGCCAATCAAATTGGCTTCATCAAAGTTGTTTGTCCCTCGAACAACTTCATAGTAAGAGATCCTCTGATGGGATTGACCAATCAAATCTGGTATAGGAAGTTGTCTGCTTCTTTTTCGGTAATTGAGAAACCAAACCATGAAAATAGTTGTGACTACTAATGCTACAGCAACTGATGCAAGAGCAAAAGTTAATGCCCTCCTTTTGTTTTTTCTTTTCATGCCACCAATTCTGCATTCCGCCACATTGAATTGAGATGGTCCACACAATTCAGCATTCCCCATGAAAGATGCAGCTGTCAAATTAGCAAAAGGTCCTCCATTTGGAATCTTACCAGTGAGTGCATTGAAAGACACATTAAGATAGCTAAGTTGTTTAAGATTCACCAGAGACTCGGGGATCATACCTGAAAGGTTATTTCCAGATAAATCCAAGTATGCAAGAGCAACCAAGTATCCGACTGATTGAGGTATAAGACCTTCAAAATTGTTCATCGACAGAGAAAGATTCACCAAATTCTGTAGTTGTCCAATTGTGCTCGGAATTTCTCCTGAGAATTGATTTCTTGATAAATTTAAATTGCTTAGACTCCTCAAACTTCCTATTCCTAAAGGCAGAGAACCATTGAGAAAATTGGAGGACAAACTCAGAGTTGATATACCGATGTTACTCCAAAAAGTTGGAGGAATATTGGAACTCAATGCATTGGAATCTAAAAAGAGTTCTCTTAAAGAAGAGAGATTTCCCAAACAACTTGGTATTTCATCTGAAAGCTGATTTTCACTCAAGTCAAGTCGAAATAAGACCTCCATATTGCATAAGCTTTCTGGTATGGTACCATTTATTTTATTTTTCCAAAGTGTCAACTTTTGCAATTTCCTCATGTTTCCCAATTCATGAGGAATTGAACCACTCAAACGATTCTTTCCAATGCCTAACCACACCAAGTTACTCAACTTACTGATTTCAACAGGGATTTCACCTGTGATGTCGTTTCCAGAGGTGATGAATACGTCAAGAGAATCAGACCAATTACTGAAGGCTAAGGACTTTGGAAAAGTTCCTCTGAATGCATTATATCCTAGTTGTATACGCTTCAAGTGCTTGCAGCTCGATAGGGAAGTAAGGAAACTTAATTCCCTTGTGGAAGGATCATTTGTCAGTTGATTCAACTGCAAGTTGATCACTTCAAGCTGCTGTAAATTTCCAAGATTCATCGGCACATCCCCGCTAAGAAAATTGTGGCCCAAATCAAGGAAAGTGAGCTTGGAAACATTTGAAATGGAGCTAGGAATTGTCCCACTAAAGTGGTTCAACCCAAGATAAAGGCCATTAAGATTTGGAAAGTTATGGGCAAAGTTAGAAGGTAGACTTCCAGAAAGCTCATTAGCTGCAAGTGCGATCGTTTCTAACCCAGAAATGTTATAAAAAGAGTCTAGAATTTGACCTGTTATCTTATTTGAACCAAGATATATTTCTTTCAGATTAACAAGTTTTGCAAATTCTGTAGGAATGTTTCCATGAAGGTTATTAGCACCAATATCTAGCATCACCAAAGTCGACAAATTCCCCATAGAAGGAGGAAAAGTTCCGACCAATTCATTATTTCGAAGACTTAGATGTTGAATTGCTCGAAGATTCTGAATTTCACTTGGTATATTTCCTGAAATTTATATCACATTTTTGGAGTTGTTAGACACTTAAGAACCAAGTTCTTATCTTGTAATATAAGGAGAAATAGATCAAACAGACAGACAATGCACACACGGACATATTTAGTGTTTTGTCAGCAAAACTGATAGTAAGATTGATATCAGTGTAGACATCCTATACTATAATCTCATTCCAACACAAGAGCCTTACAAAAGCTGGTGGTCATTTAATCTTCCGCCATTTGACTTAGGAAAGTCCTATGAACCAGCAACTTTCACTAAAGCATTTGCGTTTCTGTTTCAAGAAAGAGATCTTGAAGAGTCAAATTAGTTTAAGATTACAAGTTTAAAAATCTTCTCTACTTTCTTAAACTCCGTGTCAAGTCAAAACCAGATAAACAAATTGAAACGGAGGGAGTATTACTTTTCTAGAGGTTGTCACACGGACATATATATGGCCTATATTGAAAATGATTGTTTCAATAAGGAGTTGCTCTAGCAATGTAGTTATAGAAGAGGATCCCAGGTTGTTAGTTGATGGTTGCTCTTATGGTCTTTTTAAAACATTCTATGTTCGTAAAACGCTCCATATATAGAGAGTTTACCTGTCAATTTATTCCATCCAAGAAACATATCTTGAAGCTTTGACATGTTCCCCATTTCTCGGGGTAAATTTCCTATTAATTAAGATACAATATCAGGAAAAAATACAATGATCAATTCAAGAAGAAGGAGAAAAAAAAGGAAATGAGAAGTACAAGTTAGTTAATTACCTGTGAATCTGTTGTAAGACAAGGACAGAGCTACAAGTTGGGTGCATTTATCTAAACGACTAGGAAGTTCACCCACTAAACCATTGTTACCCATGAATAAATATTGCAGCATTGGGAGATTACTGCACATGTCATTTGGCAAATTCCCACTTAGATCATTCAAATTCAAATCAATGATCTTTAAAGAAGAGATATTGAAGATAGATGATGGAACATATCCATATAGGTCATTTTCAGAAAGATCCAGCACTTCAAGCCTCGAAAGAAATCCAAGGCTTTGTGGGATTTCACCAGTGAGATTATTCATTTGCAAGGACAAGTACTTGAGTCTCGTTAGACGTCCAAGTTCATTGGGAATTACACCCTTAAAAGTGTTGTTGCCAAAATCCAAGAAACTAAGGAAGGAAAGGTTCCCTATTTCTTTCGGAATGGACCCTCTTAATCTTAGACTCTTGAGGTTTAGTGAGACAACTCTATGATGCCGTGTGCTACAAGAAACACCAATCCAACTGCAAACTTCAGTCCCTTGTGTCCAGTTTCTTATCAGAGTTTCATCGGGGTCATTGGTTATTTGTGCTATGAAGACTAATAGAGCTGATTCGTCAGTAAAGTTTGTCCTTGAAGCAGATATATTGATGCAGTAGATTAGTAAAAGGAGGCCTGTCATCGCGGCCCTTGCCATCATTATTTTTTTAAGAACCAAAGTATTTGATAGGGGTATGAAGGAAATTAAAATGCAAAAGCAGAAAAGAAGTTCTTAATATGCATTTCCTCCTTTCAAGTATCCAACTTTATATAATGGGCTCGCTTGGATACAATCGCCTCTTGTGTAATCCAGTTAAAACATCTTGACTTTGAATGTTAAAGGGATAAAACTCAAATATGCCATTGAACTTAACAAAATGGCCTATCTATGCCACTTGTTATAGTTGGACATAAACATGCCACTCGTTATAGTTGGACATAAACATGCCACCGACGTTACCATTTTGTCCATATATTCCATTACCTGCTACTATCAGATTTTGCTATGTGGCATTATCTAAACCCTTCATTACTTACCACCGCCACCCCTCTCACATGGTCACCCCCTTTTACGAGTGACATATGTTATCCATTTCGTTAACTGCAGTGGCATATTTGAGCCTTCTCCCAAGGTCCCATCACATCCCAACCAGTATAACACCACAAATTTCAACATGAAAAGACATACATACTCTTCATTCACACGCTCATATGTACTTCCACAACCAGCTACACCTCATTAGTGTACTCTCTTTTAAACCTGTCTTATTAAAAAAACATCTTTTCCTGTCCTTTTCCCAAGCCACCGCAACACCCAACTACTGTAACACCTCAAATTCTACCATGAAAACACATACTCTTAATTCACACACTCGTATGTACTTTCCATATCCAGATATACCTCATCAGTGTACTCTCTTTTAAGCTCGTCTTTTTTTCTTTTTCTTTATTCTGAAACAAATTATATGTCCTTTTCCCAAGCCACCACTACGTCCCAACTACTATAACACCCCAAATTCCACCATGAAAATTCATATATACTCATAATTCACACACACAAATGTACTCACATACCAGCTACATCTCATTAGTGGACTAATTTTTAAGCCCGTCTTTGTTTTTTTTCTTACACAAATTTGTGTTTTTCTTAAATCTTTTTAAGAGCCGCAAAGTACGTGAAATTTGTGAATGATGTAGAATAGGATAAGATTCATAATCCAATTAAATAAGAGAGTATAGTTTTTCCATATAAAATAATTGTGTTATAGTATAAGCCTATAAGGAACAAACTTGTCCTTATAAGTTTGTTATATTTATTACATAAAATCAGAAACTACAGACGTTTAAATAGGAATATATATGATTCAAAAAGGTTGAATGTCATGCATCAAATGATAAACAGAAAAATAACATTGAACTTAATAAAATGGTTCACAAATGCCACTCGTAAAAGGGGTCAGAGGGGAGGGAATTGGTAAGTAATAAAAGATTTAGATAATGTAATATTAGGGGTCCATTAGTGGGTAATGACATATGTAGCCCAAAATGGTAACGTCGATGGAATTTCTATGCCCAACTATTACCGAGTGACATGGCTAGGCCATTTCACTAAGTTTGCTGGCATATTTGAGCTTTTTTTGAATGTTCAATATTACAAGTTACAATCTTAAGAGGTGTCAAAAAGAAACTGAAAAATCAAATCACCAATAATGTCTATATATTGCCTTTGCAGAATAGTGCAAGTAGATATTTTTCTCTCTAGTATACGTAAGATGAAGGTAATGGATCTGAAATAATATAGCAGGATAAAGGTTATTCAATAGCTTATCGTTCTATCACCATCCTTATAGAGGCAACTTGTTAGATCCAAGTTTAGCCAGTGTATTTATGGTATATGTAAAGTCAAACTCTATAACATGTAGGCCATATGTACTTCAACTCAATAAATAAGTTCTACTCAGGTGGAAATTAGATGGAGGCCATTAAAAATTGACAGTGATAGAGCAAATTGATAAAGTCTTAATTAATTTTGTCTAAAGTCCTGATGACACAATCTGATTATTTGTGAAATTATTGAAGTGCAGTTGTTATAATCTCATAACTAAGCTGACTAGAAATTCTGAACTCTACATAAAGTCTGTTGTTAGGCCAATAATAACGGTTTTCTAAGAAAAGAGAAGTTCAAGTTGGGAATGACTTTTTGCGATATTACAGGACAAACCAAGTTAATTAATACCTGTATCGGTGATGAAAGTCGTAGCTACTCAAACTGGAGTTGGTATTTAGAGGATGTGTCAATGTCTTTGTTGATATGTAGTTTGTCATCTTAAACAACAACTTGTAGACAAGAATGAATTATAATTGTGCAATAGTCAAAACTCTAACTGAAAATAAAAAATTGTAGAATTAGCTGCCAATTATACCAAACACAATCCCTCAATGCAGTTCCAAATATCTCTCTTATTATATAAAAATAAATATTTGTACCTTTTAAACAAATCTGAAACTTTAAAATGGGTATTTGCTACTATTTCTATGAACTTGACTTAACAGTTAGCAGCTTAGCATATATTGCAGAATGCATAGTTTGTAGAGGCAGAAATTAAAGTAAAACGCAGGAATCACCTCAATGGCGATCACGCAGGGATGTTTATTTGAGATCGTAACTCTGAAAATTTGTAGATATTGTACCGCCGATAAGACAGTATACAATCCCTTTTTTGACCCGCCCATGGCAGTGCCCAGTGCACTGCAATGCCCAATTCTTGTGGGTTTGACATCACAGATTCCCAATTTACATAGTTTCAAAAACCCATCAGATTCTACCAACAGAGGAGAGACGATTTTTACTTGAAAAATGGATCCAATTTGACTTGAAAATGGGTCAAATTTGAGGATTGATCTCCTCAACTTGGGTTGTTCACGGGTTGATTTTGATAGGTTATTGGTCAATCAAAATCAAATCAACTTAATCGATTTTAAAATTATCAAAACTAAACCAAACCAAATATAATATACATGGATCGATTTGGTGGTTATCGGTTTTGATTTGGTTTGGTTTGGTTATTCGGTTATTAACCATACACAAAAATAAAAGAAACCATTCATTCAAAATGTGAAAAAAGTGATAACAATCCATTCAAAACAAAAAAAATAGTTAAAATGACTTAAATTACCGAACTTTCGATCACTGAATTTATTATCAATAAAACTTTAAAATTCACTATATTGGCCTAGAAGGAAGAGACAATAACATTTTCAATTTAACATAGAATTGTCATAGATACTCATATACATGAAATCAATAAGATAAATGTTTTCACCTTGGGCATTCTTGCTTTCAATAAATAAGTATAAAGAAATTTTAATGAAAACATATATAAGGTCTTCAAAATTGTTTATAAAACAATATATTAAATATGTATATTAATAAAATATATGTATATAATTTATTGGTTTGATTCGGTTATTTCTTCGGTTTTTTCGAATAAAACCATAACCAAATCAAATACTATCGATTTTCAAAAATCTAAAACTAAACCAAACCAAACCCAAATAAAATCGATTTTTTTTATCAGTTTGATTTGATTTTTCGATTTGGATCGGTTTTTATCCAAACCGTGAACAACCCTATCCTCAACTCTTAAATTGAGCTAAGATTCAATTATGTTTAAAGAATTTAATTTTCCGTTATAAGATCTTGATTAATTTTCACCTCAATAGTCAATACGAATGACTCTTGAGGTGAAGGTAGGTGAAAAATTTATTTTTTAAAACTTTTTCTTAGATTGAATTAAGTAAGAATAGGATTATAGGTTGGTTGACCATATGAGCTTTCATCTTGATGACTGAGGGTTAATTTGATATATTTTGTGCGGTAACATCCATGTGCACATGATATGCATTGTGTTATAAGATAGATATATACACAATATACTATATACTATGTTATAAATTAGTTATCTATACAATATACTTAATGTCTAAGTATATAGTCCGTTTGAATTGATTTAAAAAAATTTATTTTAAATCAAAAATTGAAAAGTCAAATTTAAAGAACTTTTAAGTTAAAAATAAAAAGTTGAGAGTGACCCTACTTTTGATTTTAATTTTTTAAAACTTATTTTTAATCTTGTCAAATACTTTCAAAAGCTAAAAATGACTTGAAAATAAAAATTTTAATCAATCCAAATAGGCTCATATACATCTACATATATCCCTATTTATGTAACAAAGTAAAAAGACAAGAACAAATGAAAAAGAAAAAATAATACAGTTGTTATTTCTTCTCATCAATATTTCTTCTTAATTGTAGTACATTATCTATATAATAGCATACACGTCAAATTTTAATATTTTCCCATTTAAAAAACTTTTTAAGTCAACAATGAATTGACAACCCCGCGCACGGGGAGGGTGGGTAAAATATAACACTGATGGAGCATCCAGGGCTAAGCTCTTATGCCTACTGTTTGAGAAACGAGAAAGGGGATTTGGTTTTTTGCAGAAGGGGCTAGTATAGAAAATACTACGAAAACTGTGGCGGAAGCTAGAGCTATTCTAGAAGCAAGTAAACACTGCAAGCATTCAAATTGCAATCGGATTATCATACAGTCAGATTCTATGCTAATATGCAAAGTGCTAGGAGGACAGTGGGATAATAAGAGACATGGTGGAGGAAATCAAGGAAATAATGGTCAATAAACAACACACTTTTCAGCACATGAGAGAAGGAAATCAGCCTGCAGACTACATAGCAAATCAGGCAATAGAGCAGGGAAAATGCATTTATACAGAATTCAAGAGCCTTGAAGCAAAAGGAAGAAAGATTTTGAATAGTGATAAACTACAGAGTCCATATTTAAGAGTAACACCAAGAAGGGATAAGGGGGGAGGATTGGCTACAACATAGTTTGATTCACATTTACTACATAAACAAAATATATTCAGTGAAGTCTACAAAGTTGAATGTGTTTACAAAGTAAAGCAATACACTCACACTGGAAAGAGATCCACAAGCAAATTTTATTAGCAGATGCCGCAATTGTACCAGCGAACACACTGCATATCAGAACCAACCAAAATGGTGAAACGCAATCTATCATAAATAGGAATACTCACAGGTGATACCCACAACATGATGAGATAGAAGGTGGGTTTTGACCAAAGGAGTAACATTTTTTTCAGGTGTCAAGGTTT